CGCACTCCAGCAATAACGGAGGGCAGAGGAGCGATGCTCACAAACATTAGCGGAGGATCGGGTGGATGAAACGCAGCAAGTTGGCAGAGTAGGGAGGACAAGTGGTACCACTGGCAGTATCCCATGACCTCCTGTTATTGAGCCTTCCACACGTCACGTGGCCTCCAAGTGCACCCAGCCTGACACAAGCGCCGTGGCGACGTCACCGCCACTCTGTGGTGAATGGCGACTGTTGTTGCTGTATACGTGCCCCTGTGTGCCGCAGGGCACCGTGTGGTGGATGCCGTACGTGAGCGTGGCATGCGTGGCGGGCATCATCGGCGGATTCTGCATTGGACCAGGTCAGTGGGACTTGACCCCTGATCTCTCTACCCATTGACCCCTGATGATCATTGTACCTCAACCCAGGGTCATTCACTCTCCTCCCTGACCTGGAGCTGCCCTTCCATCTCCACATTGACCATCACAGCCACTGTCAAGATCAGTGTCATTGTCCAGGTTGGCTTCAGGGTGTTGGTCAGTGTGGTGTTGTCAGCGTTAGGCGACATCGCACTGACAGGGGTCAGGGTCTGCAGATTTTTTTTTATCCCCTCCACCCCCCCCCCCCCTCCCGGGCCCCACAGCGGGGATCCCGTTCATCATCACGGCGGAGCTGTTCAGGCAGTCGCACCGCCCGGCCGCCTACATCGTGGGGGGCTCCCTCAACTGGGTGTCCAACTTCACCGTGGGCTTCGTCTTCCCCTTCCTGCAGGTGAGTGGGGAGGGATGGTGGTGATCAGGGAGGGCGAGAGGAAATGGTGCGGTGTGATGGATGTGTGGTGTGGGGTCAGGGGTGAGAAGGATGTATGGGGTGAAGGTGTGGCTGAGGGGTATCTGGGAGCACAAGTGGTACATCTGCCAGTCGTCTCAGCCAGTTAACCCATAACACCTGGGTCTGTCCTGTGACTTGCGACACTTCACGTGGCCTCAAAGTATACCTAGCCTGGCACAAGCACTGAGGTAACGTCACCGCCACTTGAGGCTAAGTCGACCGAGTTAGAGCCCAGGACCGGTTTTGACTGTAATTGGCCGTGAGTGAGAATTAAACTCGGGTCGTCGGGTCGGTAGCGCAGTGCGCTGACCGCTACTCATACCCACACGATATCGCCTCCTCCCTGGTGCCACCAGGAGAGTGCGGGCCCCTACTGCTACCTGGTGTTCGCTACCGTGTGCATCCTCACGGCCATCTACGTCTACCTGGTGGTTCCCGAGACGCGCAACAGGTGTGTGCCAAACAAGGTGCGGGTGAGTGGGTGGGTGGGTGAGGGGCTGAGTGGGTGAATGAGCCACCCTTACAGTAACACAAGCGACTGATCGCGGTGATAAAATTATAAACAGTGTTATTGCCAGGGCATAAACATTCTCCCCTCTAGTACCCGATTAGTGTGGCAAAGATGTTCTTGTCGGTTTGAAGTGGCAGGCCTCATGTGACCCTCATGGGCTTTGCCCACCACGACCCTAAACCATGGCTTAAGTTTCTGCAGGGTTTGTCTGGGATGGTGACCCAGGAAATGTCTGCACCAGGCACACCACATCCAGTATACTTATCGCTATGACTAAGGATGCTAGTCTTTTATCTACTTTAGTCTTCGAGCGATCTGAACTTTTTAAAGCTCTGGGTAGGCCTCATACGGCCTTTGCGGAACGTCTAAAATGAAGTTGCAGATGGTGTCCGGCCCACGGGTCATTAGTTCCCCGCACTTCCCTGAACCCCATGACCCCTGACCCCGTGAACCTGTGACCATCTCCTTACAGGACGTTTTTGGAGATCAGCGAGATGTTTGGGCGAAGGAGCCAGGCTGAGGGTGAAGGAGCGACCGGGTTACCCAAGTGGCTCCACGCCATCCGACTCCGCCGCCTCTCCTCCAAGGCCCCGCCGCACGGCTACGGGGCCCTGTATGACAGCCTGAGCATGTGAAGGCACGAGAGGGACAGCATGTGTGCGAAATATCCTGAGTAAGAGAGACAGTATGTACGTGAAACAGCATGAGAGCATTTCAACCTTTAATGGGCGGTGCAGTGTGGGGGGTGGGGAGTGCACACAGGCTGTGGCATAGATACCGTGCAGGAGAAATGCCGAACGTACGCGGGAAATGCTAGCGCCACATTGCGTTGACAAAACACCACGACACAGCACTAAACCAACTCCTTGCGTACACAACTCACACTGATGCAAGAACAAACTTGAGAACCAATGCATCCGAAGGAAGGATGGACTAATTGTGGCTCCATGCCTTTACCAGAGCGCAGGATCAGGTCTCCTCGATGTCTGTAATTAGGGCGCTGGGTTAACTAACGGAACGCATGCATGACAGTGGCACATGTCCACCTGTTGCGACTGCTGTTTTAACAACAGCCTCGTGGCAATAACGCACATGGGTTTTGTATAGTCCCAGTATCCATGAGAGCCGAATGACACAGACAAGGTAATTTCACCACCACTGTATATTGAAACAACGGTTCGTGTTCACGGGGCGATTTGTTCCAGTAGCATTCGCCAGGCGTCGTTATGCTTCTAATAGCCACAATACATGAAGACAGTACATACCAACTGCATACTGTGGGTGCTAAAAAGAATAAACAGTTTTAAGGAATCATCATCGTCAGCCATGATGTATACAATGCTGGATAGAAGGCTGCCCCCCATCTTCGCCACCCCTCGTCTGTCGTGCGATGCCACAACCCATCTCGCTTCTGCATCCCAAGCTGATCTCGGCGCTCCATGTCCGCGGTGGTCATCCTCCTGGGAGTGTTCCCTTCTTTGGCTTAAATCCTATCATCAGCAATCGTCTATTCAAGTCAGCAAATGTTAACAGGCAATGTGATGTCTCTAGCTTGCTTTGTTCTCTGATTTGTGTTCCTCCTTCCAGTATGCAACTCGCCATGCTTTCTTGTGTTCTTTTAAAGATTTTGTTAAAATTTATTTGACAATGTTTGTGTTTCTAGTCCGTATTATCACGCCAGATCATTTTACACTCAGAAACTTTCACAAGGCACACCTGGCCTCCCAGGGAACATGCCAACGTGGACCCAATGTTCCACGTTCACTGATCTATTGCATTCCATTACGAATAAAGAAAACAAACCCTAATCATTCTGCTTTCATTTGCATCTTTATTCAATACATTTGATCCATGTTTGCCTTCAAGAATTACCCTAGATACACACCGTGTGACGTCGTTATTCCCTGAGGTGTACCTTCCCAAACAGTAGTTCCATTTAAGTATAAGATATAACAAAACAAATGAAGACCTACCACTTAAAATGTAACATTAACTTTCAATTTAAAGCTTTCGTGACTGCAAGGATTCATCTTCTTTGGTTCCGTCGGTAAAGTCACGTAGAATGAGAATAAAATAATACAATAAAATAAGACAATTACATTCTCACGACGTTTGGGCCACAACACAAGTAGCCTTCAGGTGAAGGAACAGAACTGTCGGGATGACAGAGCTTCAATGAACGCTGTTAAGATTCGTAGCGTCTTTTAAGCTGGGTGAGAGAAGTGAGGCACCTTGACAAAGGAGTTTACATATCAAACAGGAGAATTTAGCATTGAAATAGCTGAGGGATTAGCTTGTGACTGGTCACAGAAATAGCTATGTTAAAGTCAAAGTTTACACATCAACAGAGGCACCTAGTACATGGACGCCAAAGGGGCTGCAACTACCCAACTATCATGCAGTAAACCGATGTGAAAAAACTAAGTATAAATTACATCAATATAATAAATGTACTCAATATATTCTTCAATAAGCTGAGCTATTAACAGCAACTGGGTATACACTACACTATATAATGAATACCATATAGTAAACCAATAAAAACGAAAATATAAACTACCTCAATGTTATCAATAAACTCTATATACTCTCCAATCAGCTGAGCTACCAACAATAAGTCGTTATATATCACGATGCTATATGGCGAAAAGATGGGTGGTTTCTACCCCTCAACGCCAGCACCACGGACAGCTACGAACCCCGTTCAGACGGGCGAGTCCATCCGAGCATAGAAGAATCCACCCATTTTTTCGCCATATAGCATTGTGATATATAACGACTTATTGTTGGTAGCTCAGCTGATTGGAGAGTATATAGAATTTATTGATAACATTGAGTTAGTTTAAATTTTAGTTTTTATTGCTTTACTATATGGAATTCATTATATAGTGTAGTGTATACCCAGTTGCTGTTAATAGCTCAGCCTATTGAAGAATATATTGAGTACATTTATTATATTGATGTAATTTAGACTTAGGTTTTTTCACATCGGTTTACTGTATGATAGTTGAGTAGTTGCAGCCCCTTTGGCGTCCGTGCACTAGGTGCCTCTGTGGATGTGTAGGCTTTGACTTTAACATAGCTATTTCTGTGACCAGTCACAAGCTAATCCCTCAACTGTTTCAATGCTAAATTCTCCTGTTTGATATGTAAACCCCTTTGTCAAGGTGCCTTACTTCTCTCACTCAGCTTACAAGACGCTGCGAATCTTAGCAGCGATCATTGAAGCTCTGTCGTCCCGACAGGTTTGTTCCTTTCACCTGAAGAAGGCTACTTGTGTTGTGGCCGAAACGTCGTGAGAATTTTATTGTCTTATTTTATTTTATTCTCATTCTACGTGACTTTACCGAAAGAACCAAAGAAGATGAATCCTTGCAATCACGAAAGCTTTAAATCGAAATTTAAGGTCTCAAGATGTTAAAACACCAAACATAAACCTTTCCAAGGTATCATAATGCAAAAAGGGTAAAACATATTATCATCTTTGTTACTGGCAGGGAAGTTCCCAACGAATATAATAGTTTACATTTATAAAACATCCTTGAAACAAATCATTCTCAGACCTTTGGTTCCCGAACATTGATGCGGTCATAAACCACTTAGCTCCTCCCATCGCCACCAAGCCACGCCCACATCCCGTAGAGCCCGCCCCTTTACGCGCTAAGCCCCTCCCCAATAGAGCCGCCCCCTCGCCCCTCGGGAGCCACTGTCGCAGGGGAGTGTGGGAGCCACAAGCAGCGTGCAGCACAACAGGAGCGATGGCCGCGTTTATGGACGACAGCGCCGATATGGAGTCTCTGGACGACGTGGCGAAGCCCCAGTCCTACATTTTTGGTGAGCGGTGGGCAGAAGGAGCGGGCAGCCGGGGCAGCAGCAGCGTAGAGGCGGGAGCGGCCCTGAGATAAACTCTGGGTAACAACCCAGTGGTCGCAGCACGTTTTGATTTCATAGCGCGGATAAGATTATTTTTGCTTCGATTGGCCATTGCGGACCACGTGGGTGGTTATTTCCGCACCGTAATTGGTTGATGGCCGTAAAGGAACCAATGGGCGGCGCAGGTTCGGGTGGTCGTTGCCGATCAGCGCTGGGAAATGTAAAGAGGCCGCGCGCGCGGCACATGGTGCGCGGCCTGCGCGCTCGCGAGGCCTCGGATTGGCCTGGCCGCATGGCTGAAAAGAGGCCGCCTCTTGCCGCAGGGCAGAGTCTTAAGAAGCGTGTCTCCCTCTCGAGCTCTAGATTGAATCCGAGCCCTCGCGCCTATGCGTGGTGGCGACACGAGTGTCGTTGCCGTGGAGTTGTTCTTTTGTAGCTTGCGAGCTACTTTTAAAGGCGCGTGGTGGGGTATTGTGAACACGTGTTCTGGACGTGCACACGTGTCCACCCGGCCCAGCTGAACTTTAGAACGGTGTATTGTGGACTTGTGGAAAAATGTTATGGCAGATATGTTTATTTATTTGTCTTTGAGATGGATAACTGCGCAATGCGAGTTAAACATGCCTTTATAAGTAGCGTATTTAAAAACGCTTAAGTCGAAATAACAGAACCGGTTGAATTTACCATCTTATTTGGTGATGCCGCTGCTGCGTTGGCAGTGATTCACAATACATTAACTCGTTCGTCGCACATTTTGCATTTAAAGGCCATATTTCTTTAATATCTACACATGAAGATATAAAAAACGTTACTTTAAATCAGTCAAGAAACCTTGATTCCAGTGGACCATACAAACGGAAATGACCATGCTAATACAGTATACCGTAAAAATTTAATTGCATAGTCATTAGGAATGTAAGTGTACTAAAGTTTAACCTTGGCTTGGAATCAGTTGCATAAAATTTGTGAGGGTTAAATTAATGACGCCCAAAAGCCTCTGAAATATTGTCTCAACATAAAATAAAAAGTATTTCTTAAACACATCGTGGAGGACACGTGGTAGCCAGAGGCTATATACAGTACAAGCTTGAGTTCAATATTAACTTAATCAGTCGGTGGGCTGGGCACATGTCCATCATTTCGCGGTTTAAATAATTTAATCAAAATAATCATGAGCGTCATCGTTGAACCTGGACCCCTCCAGCGTCGAGGGTCCCCTTCCTTGCCTCGAAGATCGGCAGGTCACCGGCATTGATTTCAAAAAACAAGCCCCGACTCATGATGAGACGCGGTGTGTCGAAACCGGTCCGTTTTTGCTTGTCCTAAGACTCAATGCTGCTGAGAGTATGTAAGGAAGGGGACCCTCTCGTAACGCTGGAGGGTCCAGGTTCAACGCAAAAGTATAACGTGATGTATCACTCGGGCTACGACGCCCGTGATTATTTTGATTAAATTTTTGAAACCGCTACATGATGGACACGTGCTCAGCCCACCCACCGACTGTTTAAGTTAATAATGTTGAACTCAAGCTTGTACAGTACTGTAGATAGCCTCTGGCTACCACGTGTCCTCCACGTGCGCTTTGCAACAATCAAAAACTACTGACCCGTTACTAATAATTCACAAAGCAATTAAAACCCACTCATTATGGCATCCACCGTGTACTACTCGCCCTTAAATGTACCGGAGCACTTTTACAATTGCTGCTAGTGAATAATAACGGTTACTGCCGTATATTGCAGCCGAAGAAAGTTTTCGAAATTCGTGCGTTAGACAACAATACATTGTCGACATTAAAACCGTTCTCTTAACTATGCGTACGGGCTCGCATTATTTCTGACAGTGTTTGATTTCCTCCAATCACTCCTCTGGCTCGATTCGTGCCCACGGCTACCGGCCTGGCGCGCTTCGCCCGTGCGCGCGCTCGTGAAGTCGCCCGTGCGCATGCGCGCGAGCGCGTCTGCGTGATGACGTCGTCCGCGTGATGACGTCGTCCGCAGCGCCGGGGCTCGTGCGTGGTGACGTCGCGCCCACTGCCACCTCCCCGGCCACGTGAATCACCGTCCACGCCGGCGCGGAGTGGACGGTGATTCAACGCTCGCGTGTTTGTATTCGTGGAGAAGGAAGCCAATGAGCCTAACGGGGGGTGGGCCTAATAGGGGGCGGGTGATCCACAAATCGTCTCTAGATCCAGAAGTCTGGTGCCAGGAGTCACTTTAACGAGTTCAACATTTGTATTTAAAATATCCAACCCTGTGTTCAAGCATGGTTCACGCGTGGTGGTATCGTGAACAATTGGTCGATTTCCGTGCCTTTATCGGCAAAGCCACGCCCAATTACTCCATATATGGGCCTAAAGCATTAATAATTTATCATTCCTTCAGTCGCAGATGAATTGTATCCTGCTACAGCGCTGCCATTCTCAATACTACATTAGACAAAGTGTTGCCTGGCTGGAAGGCACGGGCGGTCACGTTAAAAGGCCGTGTGTGCTGCTCGCATATGGAAGAATGGTATTTAACACATCCTAATTGATGTATTAAATACATTCATAAATATATTGCCGAAAAGCAAATATTTAATCAAACACTCCAACAAACAGCGTATGCTACAGTCACCTGCACGTGGTCTACGCACGCCATAGCAATCGATCGCACACACGATCTTCTGTGAAACTGCGGTGTATCTTATACCTTGTCAAACGTGGCATATGTATGCGTGTATGATAATGGAACATGTTGAATACCTGTTGACTTAATGATTTAATACCTGTATTCAATTGCTGCAGTAGTCGGATTACAATGCTTTTTGTTACTGTAGCAAACTGCTGTTGCATTTGATTGTATTGATTTCAATGTTTTCAGGGTTGATAAAATAGTACCACTTACTAGATAAGTCAACAGTGGTTGTTTTGTGGATAGACTCCCCCCTGCCATAGGAATGTGGAATTTCTACCACGGGGTCTGCAGCGCTGTAAACGGTAGATGCGCAACGACAACTCGGTTTCCATTTGAACAGGCCGTCACTTTGACTTGTTGCACGGAGAGACGCGTGCTGGGAATTACAATGACAGAGAGAAAGAGTAGCACATGTATCAGAAAGCAAAACAAATCCGAGACATCATCTTGACTCTTAAGGGAGACGCGAGTGGGCTCGTGCAGGACGCATCGTGGCTAGAAGGGATGGTGGAATAGATGGGTGGCGGGTTGACGAGCCAGGAATGCACTTTGCCTTGGCTCCGTGTTTGGTCCTAACCGTGCCTCTCTCTTTGCTTGTCCTCCGCGTGCGCCACCACCCCTCTTTGGGCGCAGGCTGCGAGCTCAACGCTGCCAAGAAAGAGTACAAGTTCAACCCGGAGGACGATGACGATCAAGCGGAAATGCACCTGATGCTGAGTTCGGTGAGGCTGCAGCCCGTCCACCTCGCGGCTACCTCCAACCGTCGCTCCGAGGAGCTTGCGCCGAGTTTAACGAAACCCTAAAACTGAAATTGCATGCAAAAAATATATATATAAACGCGGAGCCTGGCAGAGCATGGAGTGTGCGCCCAGGTGGCCCAGCGGGAGAGCGAGCGGCTTGCAATCGGAAGGTCGCGAGTTCAAATCCTGGTTCGGGGTTTGATTAGGCCCATCGTCCCTCGGGAGTTGATACAATGATTAGCACTTTGTCAACAATGGTTTTTCTGCCAATAAACTCACCCCCGTCATATGAATGTGGAATTTCCACTTGGGCCTGCAAGCAGGAGATGACCATCGCCTCGGTGCTCATTTGAAGAGGAAATCACTTCAAGCATCGTGGGTGTAGGGCAAGTGGTGGGAGTGGCTGGTTACCAGTGACTAGTTAGCATGCTAGTTAGGGTTTTGGCTAGGTGAGGAGAGGGAATACCGTATGTGGCCGGTTGACTTTAGATAGAGCTTGCACTCAGGGCTGTTGAGCTCGTTTAGCTTCGGGACGGGCCAGCCAGCGGTCGTAGCTGGGGGGGGGGGGCTAGTTGATTGATGTTCGTGTCTGGTTGGCGAATATCTGAAACACAGTTGGCAAACCATGTAAGCGGGCAGTGCATTATTATTATTATTCATTGTCCCGACGGCGTACGAGATGGAAGCTTCTGGCGAGCGGTGCCAGTGAGGCCGAGGTGGAAGTGGTAGCCCCCTCATTGGCGAGGGGATCCGCTTGTAGCGCCACAGTGGACGTGCGCTCCCGCAGGTGGCGCTGTGACCCCACGAAACATTCGTGGACGCGTGGCGGCCCAGTGCCATCCAGCCAGGGACCCCCCCATACACAGCCCCATCCCTCCATCGTGTGGACATTCAATCACGGTTAGGGGGGCGGGCTGGGGCGTTGGCGAGTGATGCGGCGAGTGACGCTGTGCCTGGGTGAGCGAGTGATGAGGTGTGTATCCCCCCCCTTCGCCCCTCCCGCTACCGCATGCGTGCCCAGGTGTGCGTGGCGCCCGAGGCGGAGGACCGGTTCCACGTGGTGGAGGTGACCACCCTGGGCAAGGGCGGCAAGCCGGTCAAAATCCCCATCGCTACTCTCAAGCCATCCGTCCTGCCCTCGGTGAGACCTGGTGCCCTCGCGGTTGTCATGCACGCGCACACTTTCAGAAGAGCGGCGGCACGGTGGTGTGATGTTAACGACCTCGCCTGGTATCCGGGAGGGCCCGAGTTCAATCCTGACCCTGACGCCTGTTGTATATTTGGAATTTGCGTGTCTCTCTCTTCGTAGTCACTGGGATATTTCTCCGGGTCCTCCGATTTTTCCCTCCGCATTTAGAAACATGCTTTTAGAGTATTTTCGTTGCTGCTATAAATTTTCACGTAATAAGCCACTTTGTTGGGCTATCGTTTGTGGCCGGGTTGCTTATTAAAAAGAGCGACATAGCACAGTGGGTCTTACCTGGTAAAATAAAAGTTAAATAGTTTTAAAAATAGCATGGCAGTGCTTTAATTTAAACCGTGTCTGACTCTCCGTGTCAGCGACCCAAAAAATATTTCCACACTCGACAAAACCACATCCAGAATATCTTTGTGGCAACTGTTTACGCGAGCCAGAATATACCGAGTGAGAAACTGTCCCTTGGGGATTGCTCTTTTGTGCCCCGAGTGACCGCGTGGTTGAGTCACCGCACAGATTAGGAGCGGTGGGGCAGTGGTTAGCACATTTACCTACAAACCTAGTGACCCGAGTTCGATTCCCACTCATGACCAATAACTGTGGCAAATATTTGAACTGGTGGTGTGGGTCCTGACTTTGCCTCAGTTGAGTCTGGTGTGCTATGTAGACAACAGCACTGGGGAGACGAAGGCGGCCAGGCATGGTGTTGTCTGCCCCATCCCCTCATCGGTGCACCCTGCCAACCTTCATAGGTGTTCGCGATCAGCATTTGCCCTGAGAGTCTGTTACAAGCTACGCGGGGGATCTTGTGTGTATCTGTGCAGCTCTCACTGTCAGGGTTCGACCTGGCGGCTCCCGTGGTGCTGACGCTCAAGTGCGGCTCTGGCCCGGTCTACATCTCGGGGCAGCACGTCGCCTGTAATGACGCTCGCACACCCCCGCTCACACCGTCACCCACGTGCTCGCACATTCGCACACTCGCTCGCACTGTCACCCACCCACCCACTCACTGTGAACTCGTCCGCACACTCATTCCCACTCGCACACTTACTCGCACTTGCTCCCACAGCTACCCGGTGTAGCGATTGTTGGCACGTCTCGAGCCGTCTGTGTGTCTGTGGGCAGATCCCTGCAACGATTTCCTCGACGACGACGGCGATGATGATGATGATGAGGAGGAGGAGGAGCCGCCAAAGCTCGTGCCAGCGCCCAACAAGCGGCCTGCGCCCTTCAAGGTGCCGCAGATTGCCAAGGTGAGGGGAGAGATGCAAGCGAGGAGGAGGAGGAGACGTTTGCGCAGGGATGCGGCGATGGGTCACGCACGTGAGCGAGGGCGTGCGTGGAAGAGTTGTGTGGTGGGCGGCGGCGTTGCGGTTAGCGCGCTGCGCTCCGAACCTGGCGACTGAGTTCAATTCCTGCTCACCACAGCTGACATCGGTGACTGTTGTCTTGGCCTCCCCGCGGTCGACTATCTCCTGCGGTGTGTAAACATCAGCGGCTTGGCAACTTCCGTTGTCTCTGTGAGAGAACGTGCAGGGGGGCGTGCGGTGATGAGCGTGGCCATCTTGCCTCACGCACCACCTTTTGAGATCTTTCACAAATGTGCAGCTTTCAGTAATTAATGACGAACTCGGGGTCTTCAATTCGTTTTGAGATACCTTTTAATGTATTATAATACATTTTGGAAACAAAATGGACGGCATATATATAAAGATGACATTATATAACGGGCTGGGTGTGCACCACGGGGTCGTCTCTGGCCGACCGGCGCCAATCTCTCCCCGTCTCTCCCTCCCTAACTCTCTCTGCCTCTCCATCTCTCTCACCACACCCTCTCCCCAAACCAGAAAAAAACCAAGCTGGATGAAGATGATGATGAAGATGATGAGGATGATGATGAAGATGATGACGATGATGACGATGACAGGTGATTGGGGGTTGTGCGCCCTGTTTCCCCATGCCCCCTCTCCCTGTATGCCCTTGTCTCTCCCCCTGCCCCTCTCTTCTCTTGTCCCCGTGCCCCTATCCTTGTGTGCCCGGTACACAAATCCAGTGACGTGCACGCAAATAAATAGTACTCGCAGTTTGTGTCATGGGTTAATGTGACCATCAGCCACTAGAGGCCGCTGTACTCACTACAGACTTGAGACAAAAGTAATTGAATCCAAGAATCGGTTCGCGGCACGTGCATTGTGCGAACTGAGCGGATCCCAGCCCCCCTGTGTTCACGTGGTGTCATGCCGCGCGGTTGAACGCGCGGCCGAGTAACACCGTCTGTTCCGTAAGCAGCTACGACGATGATGATGATGACGACGATGAAGATGAGGAGGAGGTGCCCAAGCAGAAGGTCCTCGTGAAGGTGAGCGGAGGCCCCCCCCCCCCCCATCCCTTGCCGTGCATTCTGGGTAGCAGAGGCCCGTGGAGAGAAAGAGGCGCCGTGGGGCGCAGGCCACGGTGGAGACGACACGGGCCCCGCGGCGTTCGCCACTTGTTGCCTAGGTTGACGGTTCAAATCCAGCGGCCTGCCCCGATCGATACGGTGAGTGCAATAACCGTGAAAATACTACGCACTATCGGCTTCTCCAGCGGCCGCTAAAGATTCCGCGTCGTGGGACCCGATGAGGCTTTCTGGGTAAACGAGCGCAAAGAAACCAACTCCTTGGTTCAAGGGCAGCGGTGGAACATGAAAGGGCTGCTGCGGTTTGCTCGTTGCGTTATCGCCGCGGCTGGGAGAGCGCTGCGCGTCTCCCACCGCGGGTGCACGCGCGCGATCCGTCGGGCCCAAGGTCCTGGGGGTCGGGAGTGGTGGAGGCTGCAGGTGGCCGTGCACCTGCAGCCTCTGCCGCCTCGCCGCCCCCTTAACCGTGGGAAACCGCGAGATAAACGCAACGCCGGCCGCGGTGGCGGCGGACGTACGGCTAGAAGCGTCGTGAGTTTTAATTAGCGGGCGGCCTAATCGGCACGGGGTGATAAGAGCCGTTCTGCGAGGGTGGAAGGACGCGATTGTGTGTGGGACCACCCCACACGTGTGCACCAGGGAGCCGTGGGTGGCGGAGCTTGGCAGTGCCACCACCACCTGGTGCGGTGGGGCCCGTGTCAGCCCAGCCGGTGCCCCCTCCACTGTCCTCCCCCGGCGTGTATCGGGTGCTGCAGCGGCAGCAGCAGCAGCAGCAGCAGCAATCAGAATTTGTGTAACGTCTTGAGATGCGATCCATCTAAAAACTAAAATGCGCGCGTGTGTGTGTTTGTGACAAGGCGCCCACCCCGGGCAAGGCCGCGCCTGGCCCCAAAGTGAACGGCACCCCCAACAAAAAGCCAGAGCCCGCACTGGCTAAGACGCCAGTCAAGGCAGACAAGACTCCGGCGAAGGTGGTAAAGACACCGGCTAAGGTGGAAAAGACACCGGCTAAGGTGGACAAGACTCCGGCTAAGGTGGACAAGACTCCGGCTAAGGTGGACAAGACTCCGGCTAAGGTGGACAAGACTCCGGCTAAGGTGGTAAAGGCACCGGCGAAGGTGGCAAAGGCACCGGCGAAGGTGGACAAGACACCGGCAAAGGCAGAGAAGACCCCAGCCAAGGCAGCGAAAACTCCTGTCCAGACGGAGCAGGTGTCATCGAAGGAAGGCAAAGCGGCGTCAGGGCTCAAGACACCAAAGAGCGGCACGGTGAGTGTGACGTGTGGGTAGTCGGGTGGGCATGGCGGCGGTGAGTGTGGTGTTGCCAAGCGGCACTTGGCCGGGCGGGAGAGGGGAATGCTCAGGGGTCGCTAGGAAAAGGGGGGGCTGAGGAGTGGGGGGGGGAGCGCTGGCTCTCCGGCGTAACGAGGCGGCCACGGAAACGTATACAGTTTGGTTTGGACGGCTGATTAATGAGACCGCAGCCTCGGTTTGTTTGTGCCTCCGTGGCACGCTGGACGTTTACAAGCGACCCGAGGCGTCGCTTTCACTGCCGAGGGTGCAGTGCCGGGCAGCCAGGGGAGCGAGGGGCAGCAGGCGTCATGGCTGCGAGGTTGGCGGGGGCCGAGTGGCGGCCCGGGGAGTGAGCGAGGCATTTGAGGATGGTGGCTGCCGTGGAGGCGCAGCGATGGGGAGGGTGGGGTAGGGGTCGGCGTGGTGGGGTAGGGGTCGGTGGGGTAGGGGTCGGCGTGGTGGGGTGTAGGGGTCGGCGTGGTGGGGTGTAGGGGTCGGCGTGGTGGGGTGTAGGGGTCGGCGTGGTGAGGTAGGGGTTGGCGTGGTGGGGTTTAGGGGTCGGTGGGGTAGGGGTCGGTGGGGTAGGGGTCGGCGTGGTGGGGTGTAGGGGTCGGCGTGGTGGGGTGTAGGGGTCGGCGTGGTGGGGTAAGGGTCGACGTGGTGGGGTGTAGGGGTCGGCGTGGTGGGGTGTAGGGGTCGGCGTGGTGGGGTGTAGGGATCGGTGGGGTAGGGGTCGGCGTGGTGGGGTGTAGCGGTCGGCGTGGTGGGCGTGTGGTGGTGTTGTTGTTGAGATGAGAGGGGTTCGTGTTTGGGGTGGGTAGCGTCGATGTTGTGGGACCCATCCGCACGCTGCGATCGGGGGAGGGGGGGGGGCAGTGTTTGTGTTCACTGTCGTTTGAACATTTTCGTGACAAAATTAGCCAACATCCTCCCATGCAAACAGTGGCGCTTTACAATTAACAAACATCAACAGCGAGCCCCATCCATCCGGCCGTGATTTTTTACTCGTTTTGTTTATTTTAAACACATGGCGGTTAAGGTTTGGACACTGCCGCTACGATTCGTCGTGCTCTCTGGGCGTCGGGCGTGGAAGGTTTCCTCGCCTGCTCGGCCGCCCGCCCGCACGCACCGCCCGCAGTGATCGTGGCAGCTGCAGTCATTACGTAACATTTATTTATTAATTCATTTATTTCGCGCAGTCCATTTGACGTTCGGAGCCCAGGGCCCCGAACGTCAAATGGGCAACGACAAACGGCACCGTGGGAGATGTCCCAGGCAGACGTGTGGCGCATCTCTTCAATTGAGCGAGGTTATTGCTGTTGCAAGAGCTCGGAGTTGGGGGGAGAGAGACGATGACGACGGGAAGAGGGCATTCCAGTGGAGAGGTGCGAGGGAAGGAGCAGGAGGAGAATGTGAGGTGACCTGCAGTGTTGGTGAGTGGGTGGGTTGTTGTGATCTGCAGTGTGGTGGCGGTGGTTAAGCACAGTGAGGTGGATAAGATGAAACAGTGCAGTCTGGTCGACGTTAGTGCTCAAGACGGTTACAGGAATCAACGAGTCAAGTTCACAGGAATTAGTAGCAATAGAAGAGTGATGAGTGGGCGACTGACCACCGGTGAGCAAGCTCGTGACCGGAGTGAATGGGCGAGCGCAGGACCATCGGTCACCCCGACTGACGCTTACTCTTATCAGTGCAGTAGGAGCCGCGTGCAGCTCCACCCTAGCTGCGTACGATGACACCATTCCCTTCCACTTTGGCCAAATTTATGCGGCACAGTGAAGCTGGGCTTTCACACATCAAGCCCGATGGTTCAGCCCTCTCTCCGCGTGCACCACCGGTCGTCTGGACAGATACCGATTTAAATCGCTGCACGCTGCTGCACGTGCCTGATTGCTGAACCTTATCGATTTCAATAAAGATAAGAAGACCTTGCCCGTGGGTGCGCACCGTCACACCTCCCGAGTTCAATTCCCGCTCACGGGCCACGCATCGATTAGTAGCGAATATCTGAACCTCTCCTAAGTGAATTCAGCCTTTAATGAGTACCCACGGCCGTGTATTAACATTTGGAAACAAAGGCGGCTTTGCTCGGTCCTCGCCACACCCCCTCGTGCCCTGTGCCGGCCTTCGTATGTGCTCACTGACAGCACTTGCCCCAGCAGTCTGTTAGAGGCTATACGGGGGAATCTTTCTCTTTGTGACACGTACACCCACGATTAGCTCGAATTAGTATTCCACACATCACATGGGACACCAGCACAACAAGCCCCTCTGTGTTAATTTTAATCGGTGCCCTCTTTTGTCACTGGGCCAGCGTGCACCCCCCCAATTGTATTGGAACAAGGATTGTAAATTGCGGGGTGGTGCACCGCGCGGCGAGTCGCCAGAAACCCCAGGATCTCGGGGAGCCCGCGAAGCGAGCGGTTGACCTGCGGCGGTGTTGGCGACGATAAGTCTACGAGCGTGGTGACGTTGACGCGGTGACGAGACGGAGCGATGAGCTCGGTTCATGCGCAGGCGCCGGATGGGTCGTTGGACCGTAAGGACCATGAGAGGTGGCGGCTGCGGTGGCTGCATTGGGGAGGCCTTCATCCAGCGGTGGGTTGACCGTAGCTGCTGCTGCTGATGATGCTAGTGTCGTTCCAGCCTGGAAAAGGGGGGGGGGCGGTGGGGTTTGCGACAGTTGGGTTGCAGTAGCTGGGGGCATGGCCAATGGGAGGGGGGGGGCTGCCTGTCCGCTGCGGGCCCCCCACGGAGGTCACTGCCGCTCTGCGTTTGTTTTTCACCGTTTGACACGAGCCACTTGCGCTGAGCCCTTGAGCGCGCCGCTCCTGCGACAGCACTGCAAATATTTACGTTTATTCGCCGGGATCGCCTCGTTCATAATGGCCGAGCCGTCCAAACTTTCTCCTTTTTTCCTCTGCGCTCCCTCCCTCCGTCTGTCCCTGCCAGCCCTGCGTTGTGTCATCGGCCGGCGTAAACACTCGGCCTTCGTAAATCATCTCGGGTTTTTATTCGCTGCTGGTTTGTTTTCTCTCGAGCGGCGGTAGGTCGGGGGGTGAGGGGGAGGGGGGCACGCGGGGGGCGGCCGCCGGCTTACCCGTGTCCGCCACGTGCCGGGCCCGATCACCGACGCCCCCCCCCCCCGCACCGCGGGCACGCGTGCCGCTGGTGGTGATGACGATGGAGCAGTAGGCCTGGTGTCTCCCCGCCGGTGGTGACGATGAGTAGTAGGCCTGATGTACCCGCACCGGTGGTGACGGACGTCTTGGTTGAGCGCGAGGGCTGAGTTTAAACCGTTGCTGGGGTCAAAGTTGCAGGTCACGTAAGCGGGACAGGGTTCAAAGTGCGCCGCGTTCCAAAGTCTGGCTTGGCTTTAACGAGGAGACTACCAGGTAGGGAGTGGTGAGTAAAAGACTACTAGGTAGGGAGTGGTGAGTAGGAGACTACCAGGTAGGGAGTGGTGAGTAGGAGACTACCAGGTAGGGAGTGGTGAGTAGGAGACTACCAGTTAGGGAGTGGTGAGTAGGAGACTACCAGGTAGGGAGTGGCGAGTAGGAGACTACCAGGTAGGGAGTGGTGAGTAGGAGACTACCAGGTAAGGAGTGGTGAGTAGGAGACTACCAGGTAAGGAGTGGTGAGTAGGAGACTACCAGCTTGGGAGTGGTGAGTAGGAGACTACCAGGTAGGGAGTGGCGAGTAGGAGACTACCAGGTAGGGAGTGGTGAGTAAGAGACTACCAGGTAGGGAGTGGTGAGTAAGAGACTACCAGGTAGGGAGTGGTGAGTAAGAGACTACCAGGTAGGGAGTGGTGAGTAAGAGACTACCAGGTAGGGAGTGGTGAGTAGGAGACTACCAGGTAGGGAGTGGCGAGTAAGAGACTACCAGGTAGGGAGTGGTGAGTAGGAGACTACCAGGTAGGGAGTGGTGAGTAGGAGACTACCAGGTAGGGAGTGGTGAGTAGGAGACTACCAGGTAGGGAGTGGTGAGTAAAAGACTACCAGGTAGGGAGTGGTGAGTAGGAGACTACCAGGTAGGGAGTGGTGAGTAGGAGACTGCCAAGTAGGGAGTGGCGAGTAAGAGACTACCAGGTAGGGAGTGGTGAGTAGGAGACTACCAGGTAGGGAGTGGTGAGTAGGAGACTACCAGGTAGGGAGTGGTGAGTAGGAGACTACCAGGTAGGGAGTGGTGAGTAAAAGACTACCAGGTAGGGAGTGGTGAGTAAGAGACTACCAGGTAGGGAGTGGTGAGTAGGAGACTACCAGGTAGGGAGTGGTGAGTAAGAGACTACCAGGTAGGGAGTGGCGAGTAAGAGACTACCAGGTAGGGAGTGGTGAGTAGGAGACTACCAGGTAGGGAGTGGTGAGTAGGAGACTACCAGGTAGGGAGTGGTGAGTAGGAGACTACCAGGTAGGGAGTGGTGAGTAGGAGACTACCAGGTAGGGAGTGGTGAGTAGGAGACTACCAGGTAGGGAGTGGTGAGTAAAAGACTACCAGGTAGGGAGTGGTGAGTAGGAGACTACCAGGTAGGGAGTGGTGAGTAAAAGACTACCAGGTAGGGAGTGGTGAGTAGGAGACTACCAGGTAGGGAGTGATGAGTAGGAGACTACCAGGTAGGGAGTGGTGAGTAGGAGACTACCAGGTAGGGAGTGGTGAGTAGGAGACTACCAGGTAGGGAGTGGTGAGTAGGAGACTACCAGGTAGGGAGTGGTGAGTAAAAGACTACCAGGTAGGGAGTGGTGAGTAGGAGACTACCAGGTAGGGAGTGGTGAGTAGGAGACTACCAGGTAGGGAGTGGTGAGTAGGAGACTACCAGGTAGGGAGTGGTGAGTAGGAGACTACCAGGTTGGGAGTGGTGAGTAGGAGACTACCAGGTAGGGAGTGGTGAGTAGGAGACTACCAGGTTGGGAGTGGTGAGTAGGAGACTACCAGGTTGGGAGTGGTGAGTAGGAGACTACCAGGTAGGGAGTGGTGAG